GAGGGTTCCCTTTTCTCCACACCCTCTCCAGCATTTATTGCTTGTAGACTTTTGGATAGCAGCCATCCTGACTGGTGTGTAATGGTACCTCATTGTGGTTTTGATTTGCATTTCTCTGATAATGAGTGATGTTGAGCATCTTTTCATGTGTTTGTTAGCCATCTGTATGTCTTCCTTGGAGAAATGTCTGTTCAGTTCTTTGGCCCATTTTTTGATTGGGTCATTTATTTTTCCCAGTCACCATTTTAAAACACACAGTGCAGTGGTATTAAGTACATTCATAATATTCAATCATCACCACTGTCCATCTCCAGAACTTTAAAAAACATATATTTATTTTATTTTTATTTAATTTGGTTGCACCAGCTCTCAGTTGCAGCATGTGGAGTCTTTAGTTGTGGCATTTGGGATTTAATTCTCTGACCAGGGCTTGAACCCAGGTCTCCTGCATTGGGAGCACAGCGTCCCAGCCACTGGACCATCAGGAAAGTCCCCTCCAGAACTCTTCATCTTGAAAAATGGAAACTCTGTACCCATTAAGCAATAACCCCCATTTTTCCTCCCCACTCAGCTTCTAACAACTACCATTCCCTTTTCTGTCTCTTCGATTCTGTCTGTATGATTTTTCTGTCTCTGAGTGATCTATCACATAAGTGGAATCATGTATTATTTGTCTTTTTGTGACTGGCTTCTTTCTTTTGTCATAGTGTCCTCAAGGTTCATCCATGTTGTAGCATATGTCAGGATCACATTTTAAAGTTTGATTATGGTTCCACTGTATGTACATACCACATTTTGCTTATCCACTCATTTTATCTATGAACATTTGGGTGGTTTCCACCTTTTAGCTATTGTGAATAGGGCTGCTAAGAACATGGGTGTATAAATATCCCTTTGAGACACTGCTTTCATTTCTTTTTGGTACATATGTAAAAGTGGAATTACTGGATCATATGGTAATTCTATTTTTATTTAGTTGAGGAACCGCTGTATTTTTTTCCTCAGCAACTCCACCTTTATTAATTTCTACCATCAGTGTATGAGGGTTCTAATTTCTCCATATCTGTGCCAACACTTGTTATTTTTCTGGGTTTTTTTTTGACAGACAGTTCTGATGAGTATGAGGTGATATCTCATTTTGGTTTTAATTTGCCATCCTTGTTTTTCGTCCATATTTTTTGGCTATGCTTACTCCCTTTTATTATTTTTAAAAAATCTATTTATTTTTGTTTGCACTGTGTCTTTGTTGCTGTGCCAGCTTTCTCTAGTTGCAGTGAGTGGGGGTTCCTCTTTGTTGCAATGCTCGAGCTTCTCATTGGGGTGGCTTCTCTTGTTGCTGAGCACAGGCTCTAGGGTGCACGGACTTCAGTAGTTGCAGCACATGGACCGTAGTTACAGTTCCCAGGCTCTGGAGCACAGGATCAATAGTTGTGGTGCCTTAGTTGCTGGTAGCTTAGTTGCTCTGTGGCATGTGTGATCGTCTCAGATCAGAAATTGAACTTGTGTCTCCTGCATTGGCAGGCGATTCTTTACCACTGAACCACCAGGGAAGCCCCACTCTCTTTTATTTTTAACCTCTTTTGTGTCATTTCTTTAGATGAAAGGACCATATCTTTGGTTTATTTTTTGACCTGAGAACTTTTTTCATTTAGGGATTTAAACCCATTTGTATTTGTTATTACAGTTGCTGTCTTTGTCCTTTTTTTACCCAATGGCTTGCAAATTTCTCTTTATTTTTTCCCCTGTATAAACATTATCTTTTCTGTGATTTGGAAGGCAAGCATTGTTTTTTATTATTCCAATGTTCATTACTTACAGTTTTTCAAAGACATTCTTAAGTAGAATTCTTGTAAATAAAGGAATAACTAAAATATACTTATCAAAATTAGTAACAGGAAAACAATTCTTGACACTATTGGGAATTATGAGGACGTATTATTTCTGTTTGTTTCCATCAGCTTATTTTTTTTCCATTACTGTCATTGGGCAGAGTATAGCATCATGGTTTTATTTTTTTAATCTGTTTTAGCTCTTCTTTTTTTAAATTGTTTTTAAAATATAGAGTATACATATGTGCGTGTGTGCTGTTGCTTCAGTCATGTCTGACTCTTTCTGACCCTATGGACTGCAGCCTTCCAGGCTCCTCTGTCCGTGGGATTCTTCAGGCAAGAATGCTGGAGTGGGTTGCCATTCCCTTCTCCATGTTTTAGCTCTTTAAAGTTGATGAATTCTTTCAAAAGAGTAAGCAATTTTTTGGACCCATTTTATAGGTCCTTTAACCCATTCTGTGGGCTTTCATCAGTTGTGGTTGGTGGAAGTTTTGGGAGGTTTCCAGCCCCGACTTTTTTCTCATGCAGATAACAGCTCCCTGACTCAGGTGAGAGATCTGATATATACCTTTCAGGGACAAGGATGTGGCTGTAACACTTGGTGTTGCAGAGAACCCTTGATTTTTCTTTTTTCTTTGAAGTGAATCTGATTATTTTCTTAGATGCTGTGGATCCCCTTCTTTATCTGTAGTTTGGAAACTAGTCTACTGATAATATCTATGACCTGTTAGTCATCTTTTCATGGTTGTTCAATTGTTCAGTCACTCAGTCATGTCCAACTCTTTGCGACCCCATGGATTGCAGCACGCCAGGCTTCCCTGTCCTCCTTCATCTGCCAGAGCTTACTCAAACTCATGTCCATTGAGTGGTTGATGCCATTCAACCATCTCATCCTGTGTCGTCCCCTTCTCCTCCTGCCGTCAATCTTTCCCAGCATCAGGGTCTTTTCTAATGAGTCGGCTGTTCACCCCAGGTGGCCAAAGTATTGGAACTTTAGTTTCTGCTTCAGTCCTTCTAATGAGTATTCAGGATTGATTTCCTTTAGGATTGACTGGTTTGATCTCCTTGCAGTCCAAGGGATTCTCAAGAGTCTTCTCCAGCACCACAGTACAAATTATCAATACTTCCACGCTCAGCATTCTCTATGGTCCAGCTCTCAGACCCGTACAGGACTACTGGAAAAACCACAGCTTTGACTGGACTGACCTTTGTCGGCAAAGTGATGTCTCTGCTTTTTAATACGCTGTCTAGGTGTGTCATAGCTTCTCTTCCAGGGAGCAAGTGTCTTTCAATTTCATGGCTGCAGTCACCATTTGCAGTGATTTTGGAGCCCAAGAAAAAAAGTCTGTCACTGTTTCCATTGTTTCCCCATCTATTTGCCATGAAGTGATGGGACCAGATGCCATGATTTTTGTTGTTTTGCTTGTTGAATGTTAAGTCAGCTTTTTCACTCTCTTTTTCACCTTCATCAAGAGGCTCTTTAGTTCCTCTTTGGGGCCATGGCAATTAAAGCAGAGCCCTACCAACTGAACCTCCAAGGAAAAGCCTAAACATTCATATTTCTAGCAACATTCTGTTCATGATGATATATGTATTCCCTAGGATGATAGAGGCTTCTCTACTGTCCTTCATTTCTTTCTGAGCCATCACCCTAATCATTTCTTTTGGCTGCACCTGACTTGCAGGATCTTAGTTCCCTAATCAGGAATTGATCCCAGGCCCTCAGCAATGAGAGCACAGAGCCCTAACCACTAAACCGCCAGGGAATTCCTCCTAATAATGCGCATCTTTTTACCAAATTTCTAGTAACTGCCAGCAATCCTTGACATTCCTTGCCTTATTGGTGCATCACTCTAGTCCCTGTCCCCCTCATCATGTGGCCTTCTTCCCTGTATGTGTCTCCCTGTGTCTTCACATGGTCTTCTTAAAAGGACACCAGTCATTGGACCTCATCTACTTGATTATATCTGCAAAGACAATTTCCAAATAAGGTCACATTCACAGTTCCCAGGGTCGAGGACTTCAGCATGTCTTTTGGGAGAACACATTCATCTCAAAATGGGTAGTTGGTATCTTTGTAAGAATTTTCCTATTTGATCTGAGTTTTCTTATTTCTTGGCATTTTATTGTTGTTCAGTCACTAAGTCATGTCCAACCCTTTGCGAGCCAGGCCCTCTGTCCTCCACTATATTCCAGAGTTTGCTCAAACTCACGTCTGTTGAGTCAGAAGTGTTCATAACATTCCCTTATAATCTTTTTTGTCTCTATAAGCTTTTTAATAATATCCCTGTTTCATTCCTGGTTTAATAATTTGCACTATCTTTTTTCCTGTCATCCTTGTAAGAGTTTTCTCTTATCTTTTCAAAGAACCAACTTTTGATTTTGTTGCTTTTATCTATTCTCTGTTTTCTATTTCATGAATTTCTGTTTGAATTTGGACTGTTTTCTCCTGCCTGCTTTGGGCTTAGTTTGCTATTTTTCCAGTATCTTAGGGTAGAAGATTTAGATTAGTGATATGAGATCTTTCTATTTTGATATAGACATTTACAGACACAAATTTTCCCCTTTATATTTCCTTTTTGATAGACAACTTTGCCCAAGACTTTGTCTAGGGAAAACAAACAAACACCATAAAACTCCTGCTTTTTATTACGGGCGTTTAATTGCTTCCTCTCTAGACATGGCCTGTGTGCTGGATCTTGGCTTGAGCCTTGGAAGGAGTGACACTAGTCAGACCACACATTTTCCTGGGCTCTTTGGCTTTGTTTTAAAATGGCATTTGTATAAGAGACTCTATGCGGCTCGTGTGTGTGCAGCCTGAGTGACACGAGTGAAATGTTACTTAATAACTTGTACAGTAGTCCATGCGCTGCTCTAGCATTTCTAGAGCACAGAAAACAAAAGACACTTTAGAAAAGACACCTAGTTAACATTTCTATGTATATTTTTATGTCATAAACTGGCTGGCTGGCTGGATGATGGGTGGGTAGAAAAGACTCGTGACAGCTATTTCCAAGTGCAAGACTGCCCCCTGCTTAGTGTTCGCAGGGCGCCTACTCTTCCCAGCTGGGTTCTAACCTCCCGGCCAGGAGGCCCCCGTGGCCCAGGAAACGCCCTTCCCCGCCCCCCGGGCCTGGAGTGGGCGCTGTGATGACTGTGGTATCTCCCTAGGGCGTCTGTGAGGAAATGACCTACGAGGAGATTCAGGACCATTATCCACTGGAGTTTGCCCTGCGAGACCAAGACAAGTACCGGTACCGGTACCCCAAGGGGGAGGTAGGTGGGATTTGGGGGCTTACTCCCTGCCACCTGCTGCCCGTCTATGGCTGAGGGCCCTGAGGGGTTCTGCAGCTGCATGGGCAGCAGGAGGGGCCTGGCCTCAGAGGTCGGCTGCCTGGCTGTGTGTGGTCTCTGTCACTTCCCGGCTGTGGCCCAGGCTGCAGGCCCCTCCTTGGGTGGGGGATGGCCAGTGCTGTCCCCGTCTTTACTCTCCCTTCTTGGGCTGACTCCATCCTCCCTGCCGCTCCAGACACCACCCCCAGCCCTGAATCCAGACCTAGGGATTCCCCTTCCCCAGATGAGTCGTGGCCACCACAAGTCACCTGCCCTGTCACCTCCCCTCAGACTGGCTCTTGCCTCAGCCCAGGTCCTGGGTAGAGATGGCGTCACCTGGGACTCGTGTGTCTTCTGCTGCTCGGAGGTGACCTGGGGCAGTGGTCAAACAAAAGCACCTCCCACAGACATAGCTTTCTGTGTGTACACACATCTGTGTACCCATGTAGGAGCGCCTGGGTGTACACACATCCATGTACCCACACAAGAGCCCCTGGGTATACACACATCTGCATACCCACGCAGGAGCCTCTGGCCCAAATGCCAGGCTGTGCTATCCTTGGGGACGGGACAGCTCTGGGTAGCATCAATATTTCCCCACATCATACTGTGAGGCAGAGCCCAAATTTAGAAGCAGCCCAGATAACAGTGAAAAGAAACAGAGGAGCTGACTGCTCAGAGGATAGGGCTGGGTCCTGGGCGGGGGTCCAGGGTTGGGGGGGCGGGTGGCAGGAACTGGTAGGACAGTTAGTTGCCAAGAGAATCAATCTAGGATTTCCCCCAGAACCCCCGGGCACCCACACACATCAGGTTGGTGTTATTCCCAATCAAAGTGCAGCCCAATGCAGCTCCAAGCTTGAGGGCTTTATTTTTTTTCCCTCTGATAGGACTGCTCACTCTGTGCAAAGAAGGGTGAACCCCCAGGGCTGGGTCTCCTAGTGTAAAGCTCTGAACTTGCTAGGCCCCAAGGTTGGTCCATGGGTCCCTTCATGGCACCTGGGAGGCGTACTGGACTGTGAGGGTCTTTCCTGGGAACTCAGGTGTTCTAACAGGCTGCACTGTGGGACGTTTGCGGGCTGTCTTTCCCCGCCCCCCAAGGCTCATTCTTCGCACTTCATGTGCTGTGGGCAGCCAGGAAGCAGTGTCTTTTCCACCAGTCATCAATGGACAGCATGTGAATTCCAGCAGCTGAGGGTTCAGCGAACGGCCCAGAGTAGGCAGGGAGGTGGTCCCTTGGATGCAGCCTGAACCCCAGTCCTGCCCTCTTGATCCTACTGGGACCGGGCCCTGGGATGGGGGAGGTGATCCCTTTGTCGGACTGCTAGTCCTCCCCGACCTCCCAGAAGGGTGAGGCGTTCCAGGAGAAGGTAGCCCCCTCCCCAGGTCGTGTCCATGCCTATGCCCGAAGCTGGACTGAGAGATGCCTCCCATTTGCCCTTACAGTCCTACGAGGACCTAGTCCAGCGACTCGAGCCTGTCATCATGGAGCTGGAGCGGCAAGAGAACGTGCTGGTCATCTGCCACCAGGCTGTGATGCGCTGCCTCCTCGCCTACTTCCTTGACAAGGCGGCAGGTGCGGACGCGGCCCCCACCGGGGGAGGTGGGGTGTGTGTGAGAGATCGCAGGGGACTGTCACCTGCTCCTCCCTGATGCCAACCCTCCCTGCCTGTGTCCACAGAGCAGCTGCCCTACCTCAAGTGTCCGCTGCACACGGTCCTGAAGCTGACCCCCGTGGCTTACGGTAAGGGAGCTTCCCACACGCTGACCTAGTGGCCAGCCTGGCTCTCTGCACGGTTCCTTGACTGTCTGCAAACCCCTCCCTTGAAAATTCTATTAGAAGCTCATTCCTCCTGCCACCACCCCACCCCCTTTTCCTGGTTTGCTTTTTGTTTTCTATATATCACAAATAATGCTTTTAATTATTTCAGTTCTCACAGCATTGACATAACAGAAACTGCCAAATCCATGTTTTTGTTTAGTCGCTAAGTGCTGTCTGACTCATGTGATCCCATGGACTGTAGCCCACCAGGCTCCGCTGTCCATGGGAATTCCCAGGCAAGATCCAGTGTGCTTTTTTTTTTTTCTTGGAAAGATAACACCCCAGTTTGCGTTTTAATTTTTTTAATTCCTGTGGCCACAGGAGGCCTCCCTGGTGATATTTCCTTAACCATCACCCAACCACAGGAAGGGCTTTTCTACTGGTTTTTCTAGAATCCCCCACAAAGCCCCATGGCACCCAGTACCTGAACCTTAGAATATGTGCTTCTGCCTTGGGCTCCGCCAGCGGGGGCAGCTTCCTAACCTCCTTCCTAACCTTCCTCCCCTTCAGCACTGGGAGAGGCACCCCGATGCGTGGTTGGGTCCTTGGGGCAATAATTGCAAAGCTCAGTGTAGCTGATGTCATTATAATGTATGTTAATCTCCTCGTCCCCCTTTGCACTGAGCGCCTGGTATCATGGTGATTTGGCCTCGTGTGTGCAACAGGGCTGGGTATGGTGGTTTGGGGGCCCTGAGAACTGTGCATAACGACCCCTCACTGAGCTCGGCTTGTTGCTCCTCAGAACACCCTCAGACCCTGAGGAAGGCCTCTTGTCCTCAGCGTGGCTCTGCCTGGTGCCCGGACTCCTCGCTGAGTCTGCGCTGGGCAGCGGCATGGAGGCTTGGGCCTGACAAGGTGCCTCATCCTTCCCCAGGGGGCCCCCAGAAATGCCTGAGCTGGGAGGTCTGGGGTAAGGCTGAGGCTATGCTCGGTCCCCAGCACCCCAGGCTGTCTCCTGGGAGAAGCTTCTACCTGTGGCCCAACTGCCTTTCAGGAGGGGAAATGGATGTGCGTCTTCCCTTTGGCAGGTTGTAAAGTGGAGTCCATATTCCTGAATGTGGCAGCCGTGAACACACACCGAGACAGGCCTCAGGTAGCAGCGGGGTCACTGCTGGGGTGGTGGGCATGTTCCTGGGGGTCCAGACACAGCCAGCGCCGCGGCCAGGCCCAGCTGGGGGCCTCCCGGGTGAACCTGAGTTCTCTGTTGGTTTCGGCGGGGGCGGTGGTGCTTTCAGGACATGCCCCAGCCCTCAGGGGACAGACCAGCTGCAGACCAAGAGATGCCCACAGGCTGCTGGGGCCATGTCTGTCACCTGCCCACTGACACCGCCAGGACGAGGGCCCTCCCAGGAGCTGGCCCCCTTCCGGCCCCCCTAATGAGGGTGTAATCCCCAGCTAGATGTGTCTCCCCACCTGACCCAGACCTGAGGCAGGAGGAGGGGATGGCCTCACTCTGGGGAACCCCTGACCTGCCTGCAAGAAGCAAGCGGTAACTGGAGGGGTCCTCCCCCTCCCACCTTTATTCTGGTGTCTGCCCACCCAGCACGTGCCAAGCGACTCTTGACCCCCGGCTCTTGGGAAAGGCCGGGCTGCAAGTCCTGCAGCTGGGGCTCCTCAGGGTGAGAATGTGAGTGCAGCAGCCGCAGTGAAGAGCAGAGCAGACAGCAGTGTCTGTCTCTTCTTGGCACAGGGTCAGTGTTCTGTGTGTCTATTTTTGTGCAGAATGTAGACATCTCTCGGCCTCCGGAGGAAGCCCTCGTCACGGTCCCGGCTCACCAGTGACCGCATCTTGTCCACTGTGAGCCCCAGGCGGGCGTCGATCCCTGTGGAGGGCAGTCATTCCAGGCCCACTGGTCTGTGTGTCAGTCACCGCCCAGGAAACGCCCTCAGAGCCATGATTGGCTGGTGGCACCCAGAAGCCCCGCCCCAGCCCACCTGTTTCCTTGTTGGCAGCGACAGAGCTGTATACGTGGTGTCTGACCTGCTGCTGAGCATCGCTTGGCCTGAACGCGTCTGCCCCTGGCCGGTGAGAGGGCTCCCACACCTGCTCCTCCTGTTCTCTCTCACCGGCCGGGGCGGGCGCTTGTGAAGCATGAAACCCCAAAAATGTGAAACGGAAAGCACTTGCTGTGATGTTTTCAGCCACCAAGGCTGTGCTGCCTGGGTGGACCTGGGGACTCTGCCTGGGTTCTGCTGCCCTTTCTGCAGTCACTTCTGGAGCCAGAGGCAAGATCTTCAGGGAATCCTGAGCTGCTTCTGCCTCAGTCAGCAGGAGTAAACCCTCTCCAGCCCACCCCACCAGGAGCTGAAGAGCCTCCACCACGGCAGGCAGCCCCCTCCACGGGCTAGACCCTGGGGTCCGTGCGTCTGCATCGGCAGACGCTTGGGAAAGCAGTGTGTTCACTTCTGCACATGGGGGTGCCCAGAAACACACAGGGAGGGGGGCATTGGTGGCTACCCTTTCCCAATGATGCCTACACTGGAATACTTGTGGGAGCCGGTGGCCAAGGCCACCCCTGCCCCAACTGCTCTCATGGTGCAACGTGTAAGATGGTGCAACACATAAAGACATAAGGACAGAGCTGTTGTACGCGTCCCCCTTCCCAATGCTCGAGGGAGAGGCTGCCCTCTTTCGCTCCCAGCTGTGCCACTGGCTACCTCGAGTGCTGCTGCGGTATCCACGCATGAGTATACACCAGTGGCCACACCTGCATTTGCTGTGAAGGATTTGGAAAGCCTGTCCTGGCGTTCATTGACTTCTACCTGGGGGATGAAGCCTGGGAATGGTGGGAGCTGGAGTCAGCCCCTGGTCTGGGATGATTTTCCCAGCCACGTCATCGCTTTTGATTCTTGTACAAAAGAGCCTGATGAAAATGATCTCGGGAAGCCTGCCATCACGCCCCTGAGTTCTCTGGAGCCCAGAGAGGTGGGCTGGGGCAGTTGATTCCAGCTCCATTTTGTAGCTGGGAGAACAGACTGGCCAGCATCTTGTGAGGCTGGGTGAGAAAGTGTGTGGATTTGTAGTTGGATGTGCTGCTCTGGCCAAACCCCAGGTGGGGAGATGCCCAGGACAGGGCTGTGGTGGGACACTCCCTTGGAGCCCCAAGCTCCTTAGACCTGGGGCCAGTGGGCCACTTGCTGTCTTTGGGACTCGGGGACTGCAGCCTTTGTTTCTATGGCCGCCTTGGTCTTGGTGACTTCCGGCCATGTTTACTTATTGCCCATAGTGGGTCCCTTTTCAGTGGCATGTCCATCTAGATGTCACCACCTCTCCGGGACCTCAGGCTCACTGAGGTGAGACCAGCAAGACGTCTTCTCTCTGTTCAGAGGGCTGCCAGGGCCAGATGTGTCACAGGATTGGGAGGGGGCAGAGGGAGGTCTGAGATCCCAGCAGGGGCTCACCCCAAGCCGGTTCTCTGTCTGGGCAGCATCCACCTGGCCAGCTGCCCGCTTACAGCCGGGACAGTCCATGTGGTCCTATTGCAGACATTTTTCCTCCTCGTCCTGGAATGGATGTTGTTGGAACTCAGCCACTCGTCACACTGTGTCCAACATTCTCTGCAATAAATACTTAAAAAAAAAAAAGAAAGAACACCCTAATGCTGTGTCTTATGGCCAGGTCTCCCTTGGTGAGGTATTCTTTCCAGCAGCTTACAGACTCCTATGCTGCCCTCTCTCCCAGAAAGTCTGGGTGGGACCCTTCGTCCAGCTCCCACTGCCATGCCTACCCATCCTGGGAGCAGAAACTGTTCTGCCCTGGAGTGAGCCCTGGGCAGGGCCTGAGTTTTCTCTGGGCCAACCCAGGTTGCTGGGCCCTTACCACTGGGTGAGAAACAGACATAGCAGGGATCTGGGGTCCCTAGAAATGTGGGTCCTTAATACTGGCATCCTTTAGGAGGGGTTGAGGATGGAGGGGGTACACAAGGCTGTGGGTGGAGCACGTTGGCTGGTTCTCTGGTGTTTGTTGCTTCTGACTTGGGGAAGATGGTGACAAGGGGTACCCTTTCCTCTGCCTCAGAATTTTTTTCCCTTGTGCAATAAAAAAAAATTTTTTTTTTTAAGATTTTGGTCAGAGTAGGGAAAAATATTTTTTTCATGGGGGTATAGTTGATTTATGTGTTTCAGGTGTACAACATAGTGATTCACTTCTGCATATATTCATTCTTCTCCTGTTCTTTTCCCATGTAGGTTATTACAGAGTGTTGAGAACAGCTCCCTGTGTTCTACAATAGGTCCTCATTATCCGCTTTATATATGGTGCATGTTAATCCCAAGTTTCTAATTTATCCCTCCCTCCCACGCCTTAGGATTTTGTTGGACTTCATATACCTTCTTCCCTTATAGGGCTTCTCTGGTACCTCAGTTGATAAAGAATCTGCCTGCAATGCAGGAGACTCCAGTTCTATCCCTGGGTTGGGAAGATCCCCTAGAGAAGGGAAAGGCTACCCACTCCAGTATTCTGGCCTGGAGAATTCCATGGACTATATGAGTGGGGTCCAGACACGACTAAGTGACTTTCATTTTATTTATTTATACACCTTCTGCCCCGGGGCTGGGGTATTGACAGCATGGTTCCTCCAGGGCCGTGATGAAGCTGGGCGTGGCTGGGTGCCCGCACGTGCCTCTCCTGGTGTATCAGGGCAGAGGGTGCCTGTGTTACAGTGGATGACGGGAACTAGGCTCAGAGTGATGTCAGCTATGACCATCTTCCTGATATGTGAGGTTACTGTCCCCACCTTGTCCCTGGGCATAGAGATCCTGGAGTGGATACCTGACCTCCCTGAAGGGTTCCTAGCACTCTTTTTTTTCCAAGTTTTTATTGAATTTATTACAATATTGCTTTTGTTTTATGCCTTGGTTTTTTGGCCGCAGGTATGTGGGATCTTAGCTCCCAGACCAGGGATCGAACTTGCATCCCCTATGTTGGAAGGCGAAGTCTTAACCACTGGGCCACCAGGGAAGTCCCCTTCCTAGCACTTTTTGAAGAAGGTTTCGAAGTTTTTAACAGCAAAGCAACCACAGAAGAAATGAAATACAACACTACCAGAATTTTAATTCAGGTCCACTATTCTAACACACACACACACACCCAATCTAGAAAGAGCAATGATATATGGTTATGCTGAAGAATTTTAAGATAGGATCAGAGGGTATTTGAATAGAAATGTTACAAAGACAGGTTTCAACAACATTTGAATTATCTTTATAATCGGCTTGTATATTACACATTAATAATATATAATTATCACCTTTAAGGTGAGTGTTGCCATCTTTGGTTTAGACCAATCACTATTCATCCCCTGAGGCCGGGCACATTGTTGTTTAAGCAAAAATTGTTCCATTAAAAGTGGAAAATGGCTTTGTGGTAGACCAAAAGTGGTGTCTGCCAAACCCTGGCTAATGGCCACAGGTCCCTTTGGGAAGGTTTGTGAGGAAAGTGCTGGCATGAAGCTGGGCTGTTTTCACAGGGCCCACCTTAACGGGCACCCACCCTGCTCCCTTCAGTGATCTTTGGGATTGTGAACTGATCTGATCTCGAAAATTAGTGAGAGATCCTGTCCTCTGCAGTTAGGTCTCTGGTCATCAGACTTCTGGTTCTTTTGTTGTACTCATCTGGTAGGATTCTACTGGCTCCCCATCAGTTTTGGTCCTAGGGGCCTGTTGATCCTGGCCAAAGGCAGGTGTCATAAATTAAGATGAAGTCATACTGGAGTGGGGTGTGACCCTAATCCAAAATTCCCTAGCACCTTCAGAGACAGCATGGCTTCAAATGTCCAGCCTCCACAATTATGAGACAGTAAGTTTCTGTGTTTGGAGCCACTCAGAGTCTGGTACTTTGTTATAGCTGCCCTGGCAAATGGAAACTTCTCAGCAATGGACTTCCCAAAGCCTCGGTGAAGGGAATATCTCCTGGGTCCTCTCCAGGGACTCAGGGAAAAGGTGAGTTGTCCTGGATTAATTTAGCCCAACATTTATTTTGAATGAATATGTGAATCTTTCTGAAGCTTTGGATTCTTTATGTTATACCAGGAAGCAACTGACATCTCAACTGCATTTAGTGAGACCCACTTTTCATTTCAGTCAAGCAACCAGACTTGCAGAACAACCCCCAGTAGCTTAATGCTAGCACATTGAATCCCAAGTTCCAGGTAAGATCGCCTATATTGATAAATTCTGCCCTAAGATGCTACATGAAGTCTCTGCCCACATAAAGTCTGTATATTTTAGCTAATGTAAAATACCAAAGTCTTACGTTTCCTTTGATACATAAGCCATCCCCTGGGTTTGACTTTGTAATAAGGTCTCCACACATGCTGGAATCCATCTCTAATTTAAGAAGGAGTCAGGGAGAGGGACTTGAGAAGACTTGACTCCCCTTGCAAAGAAACGTCCTCGTGAGGTATGAGGGGAGGACACCTTGGTTAGATGGGCAAGGGACGTGGAGAAGGGGTGGAAGTTGATGGCAATCTGATTCCTCTGATTCTTTCATACGCATCTTCATCTCATTTATCAACTTGGCACATAAAGTGCATGCCATGTGCTAAGCGGTAGGAATACACGCAGTAAGTGAAAGTATTAGTCATCAGTCATGTCCGACTCTTTGCGACCCCATGAACTGTAGCCCGCCAGGCTCCTCGGTCCATGGGATTCTCCAGGCAAGAATACTGGAGTGGGTTGCCATTTCCTTCTCCAGGGAATCTTCCCAACCTGGGTCTCCTGCATCGCAGACAGATTTTTTACCATCTGCCACGAGGGAAGCCCCATAGGCTCACAATGCTGACTTTCTGGTGTTGGGAGACACAGCAGAGAGATGAGTAACGATGTAGTGCATTAGGGGGCCCCTGGCAGTTCAGTGGTTAAGGATCCAAGCTGCCAATGCAAGGGGTGGGGGTTTGATCCCGGGTTCGTGAACTAGGATCCCACATAACACAGGGTGCAGCGAAAAGATTAAACAAAAAAAAAGATGTAGTAGAGGGTGCTGGGACAGAGCAGAGGGCTTGGGACAGGGTTGTAAGAATGTAAGAAGGTCTCACTGAGAAGGCAGTCAATGTCCTGAATGTGTTAAGTACATTTTCGCCTTATGACATTTTCAACTTACAGGGGGCTTATCAGGACGTAGCCCCATCGTAAGTCGGGGAAGACCTGTCCCACGCTGGCAGTGATGGCTGTTCTAGTTTTGTCTCAGCCTGCCAGGGCTGCCATCTCCCTTCATCTTGGCTGGATTTCCACTGCCTCTGGCTCCAACCAGGCAAATGTCCAGTCCGGATGCACCCCCATTTCCCTGGTCACCTGCTGACAGTTTTATCAGGTGGAAGAAACTGACTTTAATCAGAAGTGGGATTTATGAAAAGGAACGTGTGTTCCTCCCAGAACCACCGAGGGCGCAGGAGGACAAGACAGAGAGGTCATGCCCGCATCACAGTTCTTCTCTGGCGGACACTGCGGGCTGCTGCCAGGATCCCCACCACAGCAGAGGCTCTGCTGTCCTGCCACTGGTCACCAGCCCCCTGAGCATGCCTCAGGGAAGGGACCTCTGAACCCAGGAGGGTACGTCTGATTGGCTGGACAAAGAAAGCTGAAAAGTGCATCAAGCGTTTCTGCCTTCTGATATGGAGGAAGCTGGTGAGGGCGGGGGGTGGGGTAGGGGTGGGGCGGGCAGGCACTGGGCTTTCTGGGAGTCATTGGGTATTGCCCTGGCCCCAGGCAGAGTTCCCATCTATAGCGTGGCTGCCACACTCTGTGTGTAAAGGTTCCAACAGAAAACAGTCATTCTTTTTTTCTTTAAAATGCTTATTTACTTATTTTAGGCTGTGCTGGGTCTGAGTTGCAGCACGTGGGATCTAGTTCCCTGACCAGGGATCGAACCTACCCCCCTGGATTGTGAGCATGGGGTCCCAGCTGTAGGACCACCAGGGAAGATCTCAGGAAATAGTCATTCTTAACAATGCTTATTAGAGGAGAGCTCGCTAAAAGGGCCCTTTACAGAGCTGTGGGTGGATCTAGGTGACAGCACCCAGGGCTAGCATCATTGGGAGCCCTTTTCATCCCTAGGCCTCGTGGACTGAAGAAAAATGCACAACCTGAAAGTTGTGAGTTAAATTTTATTCGGGGACCTTAATGAAGACAAAAGCCCATAAGACAGCATCTCAGAAAGCACGGAGGAGTTGCTTTGAAGAGGTAAGGGAGGAGCCAGGATATACAGGCATATTTTGCTAGCAAAAACAAAAACATGTAGATTACTATCACAAAGAACCGACACCTCAAATGAATGATTCCAACCCTGGTTTTTCTATGTAAGGGAAGATGCAAGGACTGGGTTCATTGGAATTATTCCTTAGATATGCATCTTCACTGTCCAGGGTCAGTGTCCAGAGCACAGAAGGCTTCCTGATTTTCTCATCCCGAATTCCCCTCAGGTGCACCGTCCATGGTCTGCTGCGATAGTTAATGGCTAGATTCTTGTAGAACTGGGATGAAAGTGAAAGTGTTAGTTGCTCGGTTGTGTCCGACTCTTTGTGACCCCAAGGACCTTAGCCCCACCTTGTCCATGGGATTCTCTAGACAAACATACTGTAGTGGGTTGATATTCCCTTCTCCAGGGGATCTTCCCGATCCAGGGATCAAACCCTGGTCTCCTACATTACAGGCGGGTTCTTTACCATCTGAGCCACCAGGGAAGAAGGAAAGAGAACTGAGATAGTGGGCAACATTTTTCACAGGAGTGTTGGGTAATGTTTCCTGTCTACAGCCTGCAGTGTCAAGGCTCAGGAGGGGAAGGGTTACTGGAACCTGGTGGGAACCCCCCTTTCCCACTGGCCCCTGACCTCCTATTCAGTTGCTGTGAGCTGCAACTCAGTTGCAGCAACCTATTCTCTTGCTATGAGCTGTAACTGAGTTACAGAGGGGTCTCTTCAATCAGTCCCTCCCTGGGGCTCTCAAGATAAAAATCTCAGTTTCTCAGCATGTGGCTCTGAATGGAAGGAGGCAGGGAGCCGTAGCTGAGGGAGTGGGGTGGGGATGTGTGTGTCTGATTGCCCCCAGGAAGTTTCCGGAAGGATTAGGGAAGGACGAGCCCCACCCATGTACCCTCCTCCCACCTTCTGACCTCCTGCGGCTGCCTTCTGTTGACTCTAGAGGAAGGGAGAGAGAGAAAGAGGGAGCCCCAGGACAGGGTAGGGTAGAGGAAGGATATACAGGGAAGAGTAGAAGACAGGCTGGAACACCATGGAGTATGCTCTTGGCAGAGGTGGATGCGCCAGCAGCTGTAGTCCAGTATGGTCGGTGCGGGGGCAGTGAGGGCGGGGTGAGCGCAAACCACAGAGAGGACTGTGGGTACTGTCAGTCCATCCCCTGGGGGCAGTGATTTCTGGGCTGGTGCTCAGGGGGAAGTGGTCCATGGGCTAGAGGAGATCCTTTATTCCCTTTTTCAGTTGTTATGAAGCACCCGCTGTGTGCACGGCCCTGTGCTGGATAACAAGACATAGTCCCAGCCAACAAGACATAGTCCCAGCCTCACTTAGCCCCCAAAGTGGCAGAAGACACCCACATAACCCCTAGGTGTGATGCTGGGCTGGGGGTCGCAAGGACAGTGGGAACACCTAGGGGAGTCCTAACTCAGACTTGGCATCTGCAGAGGCTTCTTAGAGGAGGAGCTGTTTAAGCTGGGAGCCAGGGAGGGTGGGGGAATGTGCGTGGTGGATGCAGAGAGCAAGGAGGCACACGGAGCCCCAGTCAGTGCAGGAACTGAAATCAGGACTTTGTCTTAGGAGCCGTGGGCTTCCCAGGTGGCTCAGTGGTAAAGAATCCACCTGCCAATGCAGGAGACCTGGGTTCGATCCTTGGGTTGGGAAGATCCCCTAGAGAATAAAATGGCAACCCACTCCAGTATCCTATCCTGGGAAATCCCATGGATAGCCTGACGGGCTACAGTTCATGGGGTCATAGAGTCAGAGACGACTTGAGTGACTAACACTTTCACATGGTCAAGCTAGGTCCACGAATTAGTGTGTGTTTTGTTTTGTGGCTGTTCTGGGTCTTCGTTGCTGTGCGGGCTTTTCTCTTGTGGAGAGAAGGGCCTGCTCGCTAGTTCCGGTTCTCATTGTTGTGGAGTGGGCTTCCGTGGTGGCTCAGACTGGAAAGAATCTGGCTGCAATGCAGGTGGACCCAGGTTGGATCCCTGCGTTGGGAAGGTCCCCTGGAGGAGGGCTTGACAACCCACTCCAGTGTTCTTGCCTGGAGAATTCTATGCACAGAGGAGCCTGACAGGGTCACAAACAAGTTGGGCACGACTGAGCGACTAACACTTTTCACTTGTGCAGCCTGGGCTCTAGAGCACAGGCTCAGAAGTTGTAGGGCACGGGCTTAGTTGCTCCGCAGCCTGTGAGATCTTCCCAGATCTGGGATCAGACTGGTGCCTCCTGCACCGCGGGGGGCTTCTTTACTGCCGAGCCACCAGGGAAGGCCCTCGGCAAAGTGTTTTCAAAGGCCAGGTGAAGGATAGGATCGCAGCATATGTCATCAGCACATGTGCAGTTCGGATTGATGGATGGTGAGGTAACAGGGTGGCATCACAGGTGTTAACCATCCTGGGGCTACCTGGGCCTGATCATCAAGTAGTTACTTTTTTCCATTTGGTGGTAGTTTTAGCAACTATAAAACAACTCAGGAAGTGTGGATCAGATGGTATTATCTAGGAACTTCTGAGAGGAGCCAGCAGCAGAGGACCTGGGGAAGAGGTCTGTCCTGGGAAGCCCCCTTAGGGTCCTGTTCCTTTCCATCCTAACCCACAATGAGAGGGCGGTCAGCCGGGCTGCTCTGGCAGCCCCCAAGGATTTGGGCCAACTGGCCCAACCCTGAGCCAGGTGGTGGCCTACAGCGTGTCTGGAAGCAGCTAGTTCCTTTCCCTCAGGCCAGCCAGGCTTGCCCTGAGGCAGGGGTGAGCCTGCCTGGCAGCAGGGTAAGGAGACCTGCGGGATAGGGGTGTCACCCCAGGAGGCAGGGCGATGGAGTATCCTCAGAGATGGGGTCCCCCAGAAGCCTCCAAACTAGGCTTTCAGAAGGGAACCTGGGTCTGTTAGGCGCCTACTGTGTGCGGAGGTCTGCTCCGGGCGCTGTTGCGGTCCCACTCGGTCCTCAGGTACCTCCCAAGGACCGAGGATGTCCGGGCAGGTGGGGAACCGGAGGGGCGGGGAGGGGCTCCATCCCGGCTTAGCCGGCAGCACCCAATGGGCGCTCAAGTGTTAGGAAGCTGATCCCCGCGAAGACCCGTCTCGGGACCCGAGGGCGGGGGCCGGGGTGGGAGTGCACAGGGGCCCCCCGAGAGAATCGAAGGCAACTTGGGTGGTCGCCTGCGTCCGGGAGCCTGTCCCCAGAGGGGCCGACACCGGACGCGTCCCTGGCCCCGAGGCTGGGAGGCGCGTCCGCTTCCCCTCCGCCCGTCCCTCCTCTCCCCCCCGGGCGGGGTTCCCGGAACGGCCGGGGCGGGGCGAGGAATCCAGCGGCCGCGCGGGTCGCTGAGGTTTGCGGCTACACCGGGACGTCTGTTGGTCCGTCCGTCCGTCCCCCTGCGCTCCCAGCCATGGCCGCGCCGGCCCCCGCTCCCCGCATCCTGCTGCTCTTGCTGTTGTTGCTCCCGGCGCCTGAGGGAGGTGAGTGTTGGCGGGTGGCGGGGAGTTCGTCCCGGGCTGGCAGGGGAGGCGGCCATGTCCGCGCCGTCCCCGGTTGCAAGCCGAGGCGGCGCCGTCCCCCCCAGTGACCCCAACGGAGTCTCATAACCCCGAGGCAGTGTGCGGACCCCACGACTGGTCTCTCCCCCACCCCAGCCTCCCTCCCGTCTGCACTGACATTGCCCAGACATCTGGGCATCTGCCGTCATTGTTCTGCCCTGGCGTGGTGGTGGTGGTGGCGGCTGGCGGGGAGGCCTGTCCTCTAGGGTCCCAAGGGCTTGCGTTCTCAGAGGCTGGGGTGGGATTTCCTGCTTGGCCTTAGCGAGGGTTGGTGGCCGCAGGGAGGTCTGGCCCCTGCATCTGAGGCCTTCCCTGGCCTCAGTTTATTGGCTGGGAGCCTCCACCTTCTGCCTCCATTGGCCTGGCGGTCCTGGAGACCGCTCAGGCTGGCCCCCAAGGTTGGATGAGACACTTAACTCTTGTAGGTTGATTGTAGACTGATGAATCCTGGACGGTGGAGGCCCAGCTGGGGAACTTTTAAGGATAGGGAAATAGAAGAGTGCCCTCCCCCTGCCCCACCCGTCTTCCTAGGAGGCTTAAGATCCTTCTGGGGTGGGTGTTGTTCTCCCAGGGAAGGACTTTATTTCCTGGGTGAATCTGGAGGGCTTGGAGTGAGAAGTTCCAGTGAGGACTGGAGACCCTGGTTCAGAGTGTCTGGGGATCAGAAGAACATTTGTGTCATGGACTTTTGGCTCAAACACTCAACCTGTCTGTGTCTTCAGGCCCAGCTTAGGCCGCTAGGTTGGGCCTGTTGGTGGTCCCACCCTCTGCCCTGCAGCTTTGCCCAGAGCACCACCTGCTATCTAGTTGTGCCTTCTCAAGGAGGTCAGTCAATGCCTCTGTCTTTGGACCTTTCTCCACCAGTGGCCCCAGGGTGCTTGATACTGTTGGAATGGAAAGAATTCCTCTTCTTGTCCTGTAGGTTCTTTGGCTGGTTTAATAATCACATTGATGTTAAGACAGATGAACAGGAGAAAAATAAAAGTTGAACTACACGTATACCTCTGGTATGCATGAGAGACCCAAGGAAACTGAGTAACTCGCTCAAATGGTGGAATAGGTCTTCCCTGTCGCTCAAATGGTAAAGTGTCTGCCTGCAATGCGGGAGACCCAGGTTTGATTCCCAAGGAAACTGAGTAACTCGCTCAAATGGTGGAATAGGTCTTCCCTGTAGCTCAAATGGTAGAGTCTGCCTGCAATGCAGGAGACCCAGGTTCGATTCCTGGTTGGGAAGATCCTCTGGAGAAGGGAATGGTGATCCACTCTGTATTCTTGCCTGGAGAATCCAATGGACAGAGGAAGGAACCTGGTGGGCTACAGTCCATGGGGTCACAAAGGGTCGGACATGACTGAGTGACTAACACTACCAGTGTACCTCCAGTATGCATGGGAGACCCAAGGAAACAGTAACTCGCCCAAATGGTAGAAGCCCTCACCTTGAATGCTGTCTTGAACTAAAGGCCAAAGTGGATATTGGGAGTCATGAGAAAAAACCCAGTAAAGAAGGGTAAAATTGTTACACAGATTGAAATCTATGCCTGCAGCCTTGATAGGTTTCTAAAGATAAGGTCCGTACCCGCTTCCTAGTATGGCAGTGAAGTTGTTGCTTAGTTTCTTTGTGACCCCCATGGACTGTGGCCCGCCAGGCCCCTCTGTCCATGGGATTTCCCAGGCAAGAATACTGGAGTGGGTTGCCATTTCCTTCTCCAGAGGATCTTCCCTGCAATTGCAGGTGGATTCTTTACCACTGAGCCACAGGGTAATCTCCCTTACAAATGGAGATTTTCTTTATACTTGCAAATATTTATTACAAAAGGGTAACTCGTACTCAGTTTTCAGAGCTTCTCCTTTGTCTACAATTTCTTAAAAATAAACTGCGGAAAATCATCCTTAGCCCAAAGAGGAATGTTTGGAAGTGACAAATACACCAGCCAGGCTGGGTCTCCAGATGCTGCCCGCTGCCCTGGGGGTGTGGTCAGACAGGGTTCTTAGAGTTCCATCACTTTCTACCTCAGGGCTTATCATCAGGACCATCCCCAGTCTACCATAGTTGTCTGGGCCTTGCTGGACTGGGTGTTCCATTTAGGGTCTGTCAGGGTAGCATCCAGGACCGTTCTCTCCTGCTAGTGGACACCAGGTCTGTGCTGATGTAGCCTAAGGGTGCGTGGGAACATTTGGCTGTAGCAGCTTCCTGGAAGTCTACACACTTTGTGGTCTGTTTCCACACCTGTCAGCCAGGTGTACTTAGATCCCACCTCTAGCTAAGAGCCATGTGATGGTTCTGGGGCTCCACATGGTGCCCTCGCCTCAGAGCTCTGGCTGCTGGGGCATGGACGTTTCCTAGCCGCCTGCTGCAGGCCCAGTAGCAGTGCTGGGACACGACCCGGACACTTCTGTGGTGGGAGTGACTGTGGCTGATGGTAAACTGGCCGGGAGACAGCCTGCTGTAAGGCGATGGTCTGTGAGGGCTGGCTCTTGCAGTCGGAGTGTCCAGCCAGGGCCGAGGCTGCCACAGCTTGCCACAGCTGAGAGGTGGGGACAGAACGTGAGGATTAAGAACAGCTCAGCCCACTCTGTGCTTCCAGGGCAGGGGGCTGGGTTCCAACCCCGGTCGGGGAAGTAAGATCCCACATGCCATGTGGCATGGCAAAAGAAGAGGAAGAAGAAAATGGGTCAGTCTAGTGCCTGGTCCCCAAGTACATGGGAGGGACTGCTGTGTGGGGGTGTGACTGCTGGGCTTGGGTGGCTCCCATAGAAGGGGGCCTAGAGGAGGACCTCGAAGGGTAAGTTGATTTGAAGAGGGAGGATGGGGTGACCTTCAAGGTCCTTTGCAGTCTGGATGCTGCTTTGTGGAGCCTGGGCTTGATCCCCTGGCTTGAGGCTGAGGAATGGCTGAGTCGGACCCAAATGTAGAAAGTTCACCATCCCATCTGGAGGGCCAGTGCACTGATGGGAGAGGGAGGGGGCCCAGGTGGACACCTCTGCTGTGGTCCATGGGAGAGGGCGAGGCTGGTTGGGGCATTGGCCAGAGGATGCTGTGGAAGCGGCCCGGCTGCCCATGCCTGCTGGCCTTGCTGGGGAAGGGGCGGTGTGGACTGGGACAGGGCTGAAGGCTGGCCCCATGGCCACGGGTGAACAGTGTTTTTATGTGTTCCAGCCCATAGTCAGCTGTGTATGACTTCTCGTGGGCGCAAGGTCGACCCTTGGGTCTGTCCTGTTTTCTGCTGCGGCAGCTGTTACGACCAGTACTGTTGCTCGGACGTGCTGAAGCAGGTTGTGTGGATGGGGGAAGATTGCCGTTCTCCGGAGGTCAGGTGAGTGCACCTGAGGTCACGAGGTGGGCGGCCTGAGCCTGCCCCTCCAGCCTTTCAGTCCTCTCGGGATGATGGTGGAGCACTCGCTGGACTCCCCCGGACCTTCTGTTCCTGTGATCCCTTGCGCCTCTCCCCCAGCCTCGAGTGCTGAGCCAGTTTCTCAGGGGGCCGTGGCCTCAGCCAGCCCTGTGGCTTACCCCTGGGTGTGTACCAACATGTCCTCAGGGTGGGCCCCTTGGCGCGAGTGTGTGCATGCACCTGGTGGGGGTTGTATGTGATCTGTGCAGGCCTCCCCTTGTGGACCGTGGAGGGCACTGTGCACGGGTGTGTATCCCACTATGGACCATACCTGTGTCCACTTGCCGTGGCCCATGGGTTTAAGCATCTGGGGTTTAAACTGTTTTGTAGGCTGGAACCAAGGGGTCCCATGTGTGTCTTCCTTTGCCATTCAGTGTGTTTCTTGTGTTTGGCCTCAGAGAGTTGAGGTGGTCACACTCCTCAGCTCATGGCAAGTGATCATCATTGGTTTGGGCAAGTCCAAACCCCCACCATCTTACACATCTTTTAATCATCCATGACTATTGCACTCCCTTCTTTTTTTTTTTTTTTCATTTATTTTTATTAGTTGGAGGCTAATTACTTTACATCATTGCAGTGGTTTTTGTCATACATTGAAATGAATTAGCCATGGATTTACATGTATTCCCCATCCTGGTCCCCCCTCCCACCTCCCTCTCCACCCGATCCCTCTGGGTCTTCCCAGTGCACCAGGCCTGAGCACTTGTCTCATGCACCCAACCTGGGCTGGTGATCTGTTTCACCCTAGATAATATACGTGTTTCGATGCTGTTCTCTTGAAACATCCCACCCTCGCCTCCTCCCAGAGTCCACAAGTCTGTTCTATACATCGGAGTCTCTTTTTCTGTTTTGCATATAGGGTTATCATTACCGTCTTTCTAAATTCCATATATATGTGTTAGTATACTGTAATGGTCTTTATCTTTCTGGCTTACTTCGCTCTGTATAATGCGCTCCAGTTTCATCCATCTCATTAGAACTGATTCAAATGAATTCTTTTTAATGGCTGAGTAATATTCCATGGTGTATATGTACCACAGCTTCCTCATCCATTCGTCTGCTGATGGGCATCTAGGTTGCTTCCATGTCCTGGCTATGATAAACAGTTGCACTCCCTTCTTATTCCATAGGCAACCAGTCAGTCTGTTGTGTTCTTTCGTTTGTGTGTGTGTTGTAAAGTTTATATTCTGTGGGCAAAACGAACCCCTTAGTTTTTATTCTAAATTTTTATTTTTTTATTTTTGGCTGTGCTGGGTTTTCGTTGCTGTGCACGGGCCTTTTTTTTAGCTGCGGTGAGTGGGGGCTACTCTCTAGTTGCAGTGTGAAGGCTTCCCAGTCTGGTGGCTTCTCTTGTTGCAGAGCATGGGCTCTAGGGCGTGGGGGCTTCAGTAGTTGGGATTCCTGGGCTCTAGAGCAAAGACCCAATAGTTGTGGTACACAGGCTTAGTTGCTCTGAGGCATGGGGGATCTTCCCAGACCAGGGATTGAACCTGTGTCCCCTGCATTGGCAGGTGAATTCTTATCCACTGCACCACCAGGGAAGAGGACTGCAAAATCTATTCTGATAGCTTTAAAAAACAGGAAGATTTATTCCATTAAAGTTTAAGGTAATCATTGGATTTCTTGGATTGTATTCAGTATTTGCTATCTTATTTTGTGCTTTATATTTGTCTCCTCTGTTCTAAATTTCTTTCTTTCTCACTTACTGTATTGCCTTTTTTTTTTTTAATTCCCTTTTTTCTTCTACTGTTTACTTATTTTTCAATTTGTATGCTTTCATTGTTTTTTCCTTGCCTTATCACACTGGTCAGAATCTCCAGTACAGTGATGAAAAAAGTGAGAACAACAAAAAAAGTAATAACAGACATCCTTGTCTTGTTCTCAACTTCAGGGAGAAAGCATTCACTATTAGGTATGTTAGTTGTAGTCTTTCCATACCTGCCCTTTGTCAGGTTGAGGAAGTTCCTTTCTGTTCCTAATTTCCTTGGAGTTTTAATCATAAAGGAGTTTGAATTTCATTAAATATTTTCCTGCATCTTTAGAGATAATTAGATGAGTTTTCTATTTTTATTCTGTTAAATATGGTAAATTACATTCATCTCATTCTTAAGAAGTATTTTCTCTGAGCTGGATTTAAGTTGATGGTTATTTTCTCTGGCTTCCATTATGAAATCTTGCCTTCCCAACCAGGGATCTAACCTGCTCCCTCTGCATTGGAAGGCGAAGTCTTAACCACTGGACTGCTAGGGAAGTCCCTAGATTTCTTTTTATTTATGCTATTGTGGATTTGGTGAGCTTCTTAAATCTATGGTTTAGTGTCTTTCATTAGTTCTAGAAAATTCTCTGCTACTCTTCAATATTAGCTTTCCTTCTTCTCCTTTCCTTCTGGAACTCCATTTAAACATGCTGCATTTTATACTCCAGTGTTCACATCGCCTAGTCTGTCTCTTCCATATTTTTGTTTCTGTGCTGTGTTCCAGATTATGTCTTCTAACCTTTTAGTTAATTCTTCATATATGTTTAATCTGCTATTAAACTCATTCCTTGCGGTTGTTTTTTATTCTGTTGTGTTGTAACATAAAATTCTCATGCAGAAAAGTGCATTAAAATAAACGTATAGCTCAGTGATTTATCAGAAAGCAAATATCTGCATAACCACTCTTCAGGTTAAGATAGCATAAGTCCCCCTGAGCTCACTCTCAATCACTGTCTCTCATCCCTCTAAGATAGTGTTGATTCTAACTGTTATATAGCCTTGCTTTTCTTTAGAGTTATAATACCCAAATATGCATCTCTTAAGTTCTTCAGCTTAGTTAGTTTTTTTTTTAATGTTTATTTTTATTTTATTTATTTGTCTGCATCAGGTCTTGGTTGGCTGGATCTTAGTTGCACCACGAGGGATCTTTTTATGAGACTTGCAAACTCTTAGTTGTGGCATGTGGGATCTGGTTCCCTGACCAGGGATCACACCCAGGCTTCCTGCGTTAGGAGTGTGGAGTCTTAGCTACTGGACCACCAGGGAAGTCCCTATAGTTTAGTTTTTTAATTGGGGTTGGAGGCAGTATATATCATACATTCATAAACGTACACAAATAGAAGGCATACAGCTCAGTGAATTATTGAAAAATTTTTTTCCATTTATTTTTATTAGTTGGAGGCTAATTACTTTACAGTATTGCAGTGGTTTTTGTCATACATTGACATGAGTCAGCCATGGATTTGCATGTATTCCCCATCCTGATCCCCCCTCCCACCTCCCTCTCTACCTGATCCCTCTGGGTCTTCCCAGTGCACCAGGCCTGAGCACTTGTCTCATGCATCCAACCTGGGCTGGTGATCTGTTTCACCCTAGATAATATACATGTTTCGATGCTGTTCTCTCGAAACATCCCACCCTCGCCTTCTCCCACAGAGTCCAAAAGTCTGTTCTGTACATCTGTGTCTCTTTTTCTGTTTTGCATATAGGGTTATCGTTACCATCTTTCTAAATTCCATATATATGTGTTAGTATACTGTCATCTCATTAGAACTGATTCAAAAGAATTCTTTTTAGTGGCTGAGTAAATTCCATGGTGTATATGTACCACAGCTTCCTTATCCATTCGTCTGCTGATGGGCATCTAGGTTGCTTCCATGTCCTGGCTATTATAAACAGTGCTGCAGTGAATATTGGGGTGCACGTGTCTCTTTCAGATCTGGTTTCCTTGGTGTGTATGCCCAGGAGTGGGATTGCTGGGTCATATGGCAGTTCTATTTCCAGTTTTTTAAGGAATCTTCACTCTGTTATCCATAGCAGCTGTATTAGTTTGCATTCCCACCAACAGTGTAAGAGGGTTCCCTTTTCTCCATACCCTCTCCAGCATTTATTGCTTGTAGACTTTTGGATAGCAGCCATCCTGACTGGCGTGTAATGGTACCTCATTGTGGTTTTGATTTGCATTTCTCTGATAATGAGTGATGTGGAGCATCTTTTCATGTGTTTGTTAGCCATCTGTATGTCTTCTTTGGAGAAATGTCTGTTTAGTTCTTTGGCCCATGTTTTGATTGGGTCATTTATTTTTCTGGAATTGAGCTGCAGGAGTTGCTTGTATATTTTTGAGATTAATCCTTTGGCTGTTGCTTCGTTTGCTATTATTTTCTCCCAATCTGAGGGCTGTCTTTTCACCTTGCTTATAGTTTCCTTTGTTGTGCAAAAGCTTTTAAGTTTCATTAGGTCCCATTTGTTTATTTTTGCTTTTATTTCCAATATTCTGGGAGGTGGGTCATAGAGGATCCTGCTGTGATTTATGTTGGAGAGTGTTTTGCCTATGTTCTCCTCTAGGAGTTTTATAGTTTCTGGCCTTACATTTAGATCTTTAATCCATTTTGAGTTTATTTTTGTGTATGGTGTTAGGAAGTGTTCTGGTTTCATTCTTCCATGCTAATCTTCTCTGTATCGTTCCAATTTTAGTATATGTGCTGCCGAAGCGAGCACGAATTACTGAAATTTAAACACATTCAACTCCACGAAACCACCACCTGTCTGGGGCAAGACTTAACACATCGTGGCATCTTGGAAACCCCCTCAGGTTACTTCCTAATCAGTATCCCCTCTGTTATCCCCAAGTTAAATGGTTATAACCATTTAACTGCTCTGTTACTCAACACACACAGACATACACGTGACATCATACATCTATTTCTTATCTGGTTTCTTTCACCATGTGAGTTTCATCCATACTGTGTTGTTTGTTCATTTCCATTGGTATATGTGAAGTTTTTATATCACAGTTGATCCATTGTAATGTTGGTGGACATCTGGATTGTTTCTTTTTTGGGGAGGGGTGTTGCAAATAATGCAGCTGTGAGCATCTTTGGCGCACATATATGCATTTCTGTTATTTTTAAAATAATTTTTATTTATTCATTAATTTTTTTGGCTG